TGGACTCTTAGAAAATTCAATGAAGTCGGTGATATTTACCTGTAGCTGACCATTATATAGCAGTGGCATTATTGTGTGTAATAATGGACAGCTCCTTGACAATTTTGGACAGTTACACGTAAGATAATATTTTTTCCATCAGTAAGTTTAAGAGGAAAATGAAAATCCACAATTTACTTTTCACAAGATAGTGATCAGCGGGCAGTGTCAGTGACCTTACCAGTGACGCCCTAATGTCATAGAAACGATATAGGTCAAACACACCTGTTTCCCGGTATTTAAAACCACATTCAAGATGACCTCTCCATATCAATGAGGGAACAGTCTATTGTGTTATATTCTGTCAGAAGGACATTGCCCTAGAATAATACTTCACCCAAGCCACCCTTCATCTCCTCACAAGTAAACCTGTACTCACACTGTTTAAATATGCCAAACATCAATCCTGCCCCCCTTCCACATACCATTCTATTTAAAGGATGAAATGAACGTAGATGTCTACTTTATTAAAAACTAGTAATTGAAAATGTATTTGAGAAATTCAAATCACAAAAGTATGTACCCTACAAAAATATTGATAACATAAAAGATTCAAAAAATCACATTTTATGTTTTCAAATACCTATTACATGTTAAACTATTGAAAACTAGTTACTACCTCAAACCGTTATAACTTTTAGATTGCGTTCTTTAATAAAATATTTGTTTTAGTTTTAATTTCACAAAAAATTGAGATTGATTACCAGTAATATTAGCCTTAATAAACTGCTCTGAGAAAATATTTAATCAAAGATTTCCCATAGGGGAGACAACTAATCATGAACAATTAAAATATGCATGACAGTCAAGAGGGACTGGTTGCAACCTATCCAATCATCACACACAGTGATGGCAGTCATCATCAAACACAGTGATGGCAGTCATCATCACACACAGTGATGGCAGTCATCACACACAGTGATGACAGTCATCATCACACACAGAGATGGCAGTCATCATCACACACAGAGATGGCAGTCATCATCACACACAGTGATGGTAGTCAACATTTTCCTTGAGCATGATACAACGACTGGCTGACCTTTAGCCTAGCATTACCATCATTTGCATATACTGCTTTCACCATGGAATCACCGGGGGTATGAATATTGATCATTTTTGTTTTCCCCATCAACGTTAAGCCACCTGACTAGGCATACAGAGCTGACATGAGAGTGGAATGTTCGTGGTAATATCCCGTCCTGTCGGCCAGCACCGCAGCATATAGGACGTGGATGGCAGCACCGGCTACTATCTTGTATTAAGTCAATACGATCGTAATTAGACGACCATACAGGCAACACGATGTACTATCCTGAGGCTGGGTATATCTAAATAACAGACAAGCTGTATGGATGGCTGGTCAAAGACTTCATTAAACTGGCCAAGAAACAGCAAAGGTCACATCCATTTCCGAATAGTAAGATTCTACAAATGTCTCTGTGATTCTGAACTGTCGCAGTTATTTGTATTTCAACAAGACAGTGCACGCAGACCAGCCTAACAACTCACTAAACATTTGACCTGTTAATAATTGTGGAAAATTCAAACATTTTTTTAAATTCCAATTAACACCAACCATGAGCAATACAACCTGAACAAGGAGCCAGTTATTCCCCGTATCTAAGTGACTAAGCACACAAAAGTTATCTCCAGTATCTAAGTGACTCAACACACATAAGTTATCTCCAGTATCTAAGTGGCTCAGCTCACATAAGTCATCTCCAGTATCTAAGTAGCTCAGCTCACATAAGTTATCTCCAGTATCTAAGTGGCTCAGCTCACATAAGTTATCTCCAGTATCTAAGTGACTAAGCACACATAAGTCATCTCCAGTATCTAAGTGGCTCAGCTCACATAAGTTATCTCCAGTATCTAAGTGGCTCAACACACATAAGTTATCTCCAGTATCTAAGTGACTCAACACACATAAGTTATCTCCAGTATCTAAGTGACTCAACACACATAAGTTATCTCCAGTATCTAAGTGACTCAACACACATAAGTTATCTCCAGTATCTAAGTGACTCAACACACATAAGTTATCTCCAGTATCTAAGTGACTCAACACACATAAGTTATCTCCAGTATCTAAGTGACTCAACACACATAAGTTATCTCCAGTATCTAAGTGACTCAACACACATAAGTTATCTCCAGTATCTAAGTGACTCAACACACATAAGTTATCTCCAGTATCTAAGTGACTCAACACACATAAGTTATCTCCAGTATCTAAGTGACTCAACACACATAAGTTATCTCCAGTATCTAAGTGACTCAACACACATAAGTTATCTCCAGTATCTAAGTGACTCAACACACATAAGTTATCTCCAGTATCTAAGTGACTCAACACACATAAGTTATCTCCAGTATCTAAGTGACTCAACACACATAAGTTATCTCCAGTATCTAAGTGACTCAACACACATAAGTTATCTCCAGTATCTAAGTGACTCAACACACATAAGTTATCTCCAGTATCTAAGTGACTCAACACACATAAGTTATCTCCAGTATCTAAGTGACTCAACACACATAAGTTATCTCCAGTATCTAAGTGACTCAACACACATAAGTTATCTCCAGTATCTAAGTGACTCAACACACATAAGTTATCTCCAGTATCTAAGTGACTCAACACACATAAGTTATCTCCAGTATCTAAGTGACTCAACACACATAAGTTATCTCCAGTATCTAAGTGGCTCAGCTCACATAAGTTATCTCCAGTATCTAAGTGACTAAGCACACATAAGTTATCTCCAGTATCTAAGTGACTCAACACACATAAGTCATCTCCAGTATCTCAGCGTCCAATCTTTGGTTTGTTTCCCACATACTACTGACTACAACTATTTTACAATGCCGCATTTCCATGTAACAGAAACATATCAATTAGGACATCATGGTATTAGAGGTTAAAACCCAAATTGGGAATATCTTAATATCACTCCCTCCCTCGATATCCCTGACCTATCATTACTCCCTCCCTCGATATCCCTGACCTATCAGCACTCCCTCCCTCGATATCCCTGACCTTACATCAATCCCTCCCTCGATATCCCTCCCTCGATATCCCTGACCCAACATCAATCCCCCCCCCGATCTCCCTCCCTCGATATCCCTGACCTAGCATCACTACCTCCCACGATATCCCTGACCTAACATCAATCCCTCCCTCATTACTCCCTCCCTCGATATCCCTGACCCAACATCAATCCCCCCCCCGATCTCCCTCCCTCGATATCCCTGACCCAACATCAATCCCCCCCCCGATCTCCCTCCCTCGATATCCCTGACCTATCAGCACTCCCTCCCTCGATATCCCTGCCCTAACATCAATCCCTCCCTCGATATCCCTCCCTCGATATCCCTGACCTTTCAGCACTCCCTCCCTCGATATCCCTGCCCTAACATCAATCCCTCCCTCGATATCCCTGACCCAACATCAATCCCTCCCTCGATATCCCTGACCCAACATCAATCCCCCCCCCGATCTCCCTCCCTCGATATCCCTGACCCAACATCAATCCCCCCCCCGATCTCCCTCCCTCGATATCCCTGACCCAACATCAATCCCTCCCTCGATATCCCTCCCTCGATATCCCTGCCCTAACATCACTCCCTCCCTCGATATACCTGACCTAACATCACTCCCTCCCAAGATATCCCTGACCTAACATCACTACCTCCCTCAATATCCCTGACCTAGCATCACTCCCTCCCTCGATATCCCTGACCTAGCATCACTACCTCCCTCAATATCCCTGACCTAACATCACTCCCTCCCTAGATATCCCTGACCTAACATCACTCCCTCCCTCAATATCCCTGACCTAGCATCACTACCTCCCTCGATATCCCTGACCTAACATCAATCCCTCCCTCAATATCCCTACAACTGTAGAACACTTTGTATATGTACTTTAATTCTCCTATATCAAATCTTTAAGAGCAAACAATTTCCCGTCAAGCACTATTTCAACTTCAACATTTAGGATGAAAAAAATCTTATAAATAAAAAACAAAATACATCTAGCTTACATTGATCTAAAGGTCAAATGATTTGACCTTGGATGAACAGAGATAGAGTCAAATGATTTGATCTTGGGGGAACAGAGATAGAGTCAAATGATTTGACCTTGGGGGAACAGAGATAGAGTCAAATGATTTGACCTTGGATGAACAGAGATAGAGTCAAATGATTTGACCTTGGGGGAACAGAGATAGATTGAGATGATTTGACCTTGTGGGGAACAGAGATAGATTGAGATGATTTGACCTTGGGGGAACATTGATAGAGTCAGATGATTTGGCCTTGGGGGAACAGAGATAGAGTCAGATTGTTTCACATTATTGGTGAAAACACGAATGATTTGACCTTGGGAAACAAAGATAGAGTCAGATTGTTTCACATTATTGGTGAAAACACGAATGATTTCACATTTTAGGAACTAATATCAAGAGATTTCACCAAGAAGGAGCAGACATAAAGTTATTTCATCTTGAGAAAACTGACATCAACTAGATTCACTGCGGTAGAAACTGACATTTTCCTTCACAAACATGTCAGAATAACAACCATGTCTCCAACATTTTGTTAATTATCTCCCCTTGTAACTACAACTATGATCCACATGCGGCATATTAAAGAAACTTTATGTTACCATCCAAAACTTTTATCATCAGCTTTTGACAATCATGAAATTGTCTCAACATTTTTCAAGTCTACAATAATGCGACATATTAGCGCAAGTTGCGCGATAAAAGCAAGTCGCCACATAACTGCGCAATATTAATCTAGGAGACGATCATTACAGCTTGATAAAAAAATGTGTTTATCATATTTCTTTAGCCTTTAAAGGGATTAATTTAAACATTTTATTTCGCCCCCCGATTTCACAGGAAAACCGTTTGGGTGTTAAGCTGAGGTGCATGCAGTTAGAGTTACCTACCCTTGTCTCGGTTCATTGCATAGACCTTCAGCGAGGCGTTGGATCGGGCGGGTTCTCCGATACCGTTGTCGGCGATGCATGTGAACGTTGCTTGGTCTCTCCGTGCTTTCACAGGCTCTATCCTCAGAACACTTCCATGTGGCATATCGTAAATAAAGTAACGTGTCCGTTTTGGATTAATCCGTTTGCCATCTCGCTCCCACTGAAAGCGAGGCTGGGGATTTCCTGATGCCTTGCAGAAGAAACTGATAATGGAGTCTTCAGCAACCTTTTGATTTCTTGGTGATTGTGTGACTTGAGGTGGATCTGAAAGTACAGAAAACACGGAAATGACTCGGGATGTTCATGTGACATGGCAAACCCTGATTGGTTTACAACAAAGCATGCATAGCCATGCACACAACATCAATTTAGAAAAACAGTCATGTCTAAAATGTCCCATTTTTAACAATGTCCTTAAATTTGAACACATTTAATTTTGTGCTACACTTTTTTTTTCAAAAACTTTGAATAACATGTATTCATTGTACAATTTTTTTTTGTCTCTTTTAAGCCTTTGATAAACTTGTCCCCAAACATGAAGTTTGTTGAAAACAGGACAAGGTGTTATTTACAAAATGCATAAGGATGGTGAATATATGGTAATGTAATGTGATGAAGAAGGATGTAATAGTGATTGTTTCTATTTATTGTGGTTAATTTGTCTTAAGTTCAAAGTTTATGGATACTGTAAAGTCCAGGTATTCTGGCTAAAATACAATGTTGAAATCCCCAGGGGGTCATTCTAAGTCTCTTGGGGTTCATTATAAGCATGTTTTACTGTGTATGTGACTACATATACAAATAGCACAACGTCTATGTCCTGTTCTAGTAAACAGCTGAAATGTTGACTGTGTATGTTCTCCCAGCAATTGCTGACCAAGTGAAGAAATCTATATCTCAGTATACTACAACAAAACTACAATACAAATAAAACTCTTTTCACTTTTCTCAGGTTGCAACCATGGGAAAACTATTATTGAGAAACAGTTGGAGGGGTAAATGACTTAGATGATAGGAAGTTATCTATCTGTACATTGTCATTACAGGTGAGATATAACACACCTGTGTTGATGACAAATACTACACTTGGTTGACTATTATGGTCTAAAATACCACTAATTATTTTACACAAAAACATCTCAACAAAGTGGAAAAATTATTGAAAGCTGATTGTGTTACACTGCAATCTTTATTTTTCCACGTGTTGGATTCAACTTTTATCTTAACTTAAACGATGATAAGAATCTCTACATTTTACTGAACATTTAAAAAGTGCAACTAACATTCTTGAACAAAAAATAAGGACAGAGAATCTGGCATGGAACATAAAAAGTACTATTGACAAGGGATTACGCGAGAAAATTAAATTCTGAACTGCACCTTGAAACGATTCATTTCTCTGTGAAATTTTAATCAGAGCAGCTGCACTTTGACAATTACACTTGATTACAACTCCTCCCCCCATTGCCCAACTCTACCAATATCGAGGTAAAATTTACATGAAATTTCCGTAACAGAATCGATTATAATCCGCCTGTGGTTACAAGTGCCCTTCACTCAGGACTAATGAAAACACAAATTTGGAATTTTCAAATAATTTCTAAAGGAATGAATTCGATAAAATAAAATCTACTCTAAAGACTTGTTATAATGTTATGTTGTGATCACATGTTCCAGAATATTTCCACCCCTATGCTGGTACTTTAGGCCTGTCTATTTGTGTTTGTGTTTTCTAAACTTAATACTACAGAGCTCAGGGATAAATAATACCTCTTTCTGTTGTATAGGACACACATGTGAATTCACCAAGAATAAGTGTTTTCAAATTGTTGACAATATTCCATCTTTCCTGATTTCCTAAAAGTATTTTTGTGTCATTCACTGAAGTGTGACAAGGGGAGGTAACTCTAAAAACCATGTTATGGTTTCCTTGTTGCAAACACAGAATATTCAGATTATAACAAATCGTCTTTACGAGAATTTTCGAAATACAGCTACCTTTTTATTCACACGACTTATTTCTGTTTTAATGTCAATTCTGATTGGTTGTTGGGATCACATGTAATTAAACTGGGTGCTGATTGGATAAAATAATGTAAGCTCATGCCCACATGTGGAACTAATGACAACAGATATTGTACCAAATTACAAAACAAGTGTCAGACAGTCAATGAAAACAGATGGTATAATCAACCTCTGACCCCCACCTCTTCCTGCAGCTTTGTTTTTTTTAAGTATTTCACATTCAGGTTTGTAATATAGCCAATCCACAGCCGCATGACCATTAACCCAGGTAACCATAACAACCCACAATTGTATTGAATGTCTGCTGTGTGAGATTGATCAGTAATAAATACAGCCATAAAACCCCATCTGTCCTATTTTCTCCCTTCTGCAACATCCTTACCTTTGTAATCTAACCTACCAAAACCTGTGATGGTTCTTTGATCAATTCACTGCCCACAAGTTAACAAAACACACTACAATAACACCCCCCCCCCCCCCCCCCATCATAACACTACTCAATAAAGCCTATAATAGAATCCCCTATCCTCTACCATTAAGGTATACCCCCTGTTTTCAATGTGTCAGACACAAGATTTGTAGCACAACATAATATCTATCACATTACAACCAGTGTGTACCAGTTTTATCACATTCAAACACACTTTCCCTGTAATTCCAACAAAAAAGGCAGACCAAGAAAATGCTGTCTTGAAATAAAATCTAAAATCGGCCAATCAGATTTTCTTTTCTTCATAAGACTCTTTTCGAAAATAATGAATTTTAAATCTTTAGAAATAAAGAAAAACCTTGTTATTATTTCTAACAAATGTTTGTTTTTATCACAGATAGGACCTATTCCAGTGATTTTCTGTTGGCTACAAATAATGTATTTGTCAATAGGATTTATGATGAGGTGGAACTAATGCACCGTGCACGTGGAACATATATTGATAAACTTTGCTCATGAATATTCATTATTTACTAATGGTTTAGTAATTAATAAATATTCAGTGATGGCTTAGCAATGAATGAATATTCATAACCACTAATGTAACCCTTTAACAATATCAGTGCATTGATCCCAATGCAAAGAAGGAGATTGCAAAACCTAAATGTGCTACATAGATGTAATGAAACATTTCAGACGAATATCACCTGGAAAAAGTTGTACCATCACAGAGGAATCTCAGAACTAATGACTGCTGGGGATTAAAGGAGAAATTATATATTTGGAATACGTAAATTTTACCCGTGATTCACTTTCACTTGGGGTGAATCACACACAGAATTCGAACTTATAGTTCTTTTTTTCGTTTTCCGTTAATTAAAGTTACGACCAAATTTGAACCCATCCACTAGTTTTGATTCATTTTAGACTCAGCTCTGTTAAATAACTTTTTTGTAAAGTGTTAACACATTAGTAACCTCATCATAAACTCCATTAAACATTTTGAACGTCAACTGCAAAATTTCATTCACAAATCCTTTCCATTTTCCACACCCAGACTTAATTGTTAGCAGAATTAATGATGTTGCAATGTGACCTTTTACAAGAAACATTTGAATACTAATTAAACCAAATTGAATAACTGTAAGTAATTTACCAGCACAATTAAGTCTCCCAATAGAAGTGATGTCTGATTTTGAAACCATGTCCGTTTCTGTGTAGATTTCCCCGCCCCTTCCACTGTGACACTAGAATCTCCACAGACACCTAGAGATGTACTAGTACATGATGAAACGACTAAACAAATCGTGATCTCTATACAATTCCCCCCCCCCCGGAAATTACAACAGTAAACTGGAACTTGCTAATTAGACACGTTCTCAGACCATTTGTCTCCGTACGGGGAAGTTACCTACATTTATCAACATCTGCTAAGAAACATCTAATCGGAGTGTGGATGGAAAGCATTTGACACTGGTTCTTCCTTTTCCAATTTACTAGTTTAAGGTGTTGTGTCTTTTTTGATATATTCTATTTCCATACATTGTCTATGTCTGCCTTTCTTAAACTTACTCCTGATTTTGTTGGTAAATCGATAGAAGTCGGTTCCTGAGGAAATGTTTTCTGCTGTATAGGACAGAACACAAGAAAGCACGGGTTACTTGAGTCAAATGTTCTACCGTAATAATAGACTCTAATGTTTTACTGTGGTAACTCCAGTCAAATAAACTAGCATGGTTACTCGAGTCAAATAAACTAGCATGGTAACTCGAGTCAAATAAACTAGCATGGTTACTCCAGTCAAATACACTACCATGGTTACTCCAGTCAAATGAGCTAGCATGGTTACTCCAGTCAAATAAACTACCAAGGTAACTCCAGTCAAATACACTACCATGGTAACTCCAGTCAAATACACTAGCATGGTTACTCTAGTCAAATAAACTACCATGGTTACTCGAGTCGAATAAACTACCACGGTTACTCCAGTCAAATAAACTACCATGGTTACTCCAGTCAAATAAACTAGCATGGTTACTCCAGTCAAATAAACTAGCATGGTCACTCCAGTCAAATAAACTAGCATGGTTACTCTAGTCAAATAAACTACCATGGTTACTCGAGTCGAATAAACTACCATGGTTTACTCCAGTCAAATAAACTAGCATGGTTGCTCCAGTCAAATAAACAAGCATGGTTACTCCAGTCAAATAAACTAGCATGGTTACTCCAGTCAAATACACTACCATGGTTACTCCAGTCAAATACACTACCATGGTTACTCCAGTCAAATGAGCTAGCATGGTTACTCGAGTCAAATAAACTAACATGGTTACTCGAGTCGAATAAACTACCACGGTTACTCCAGTCAAATAAACTAGCATGGTTACTCGAGTCAAATAAACTAGCATGGTTACTCCAGTCAAATAAACTAGCATGGTTACTCCAGTCAAATAAACTAGCATGGTTACTCCAGTCAAATAAACTAGCATGGTTACTCGAGTCGAATAAACTAGCATGGTTACTCCAGTCAAATAAACTAGCATGGTTACTCCAGTCAAATAAACTAGCATGTTTACTCCAGTCAAATAAACTACCATGGTTACTCCAGTCAAATACACTACCATGGTTACTCCAGTTCAAGTCCAGTGAGCTACCACGATAGTCAAATAAACTACCATGGTTACCCGAGTCAAATAAACTAGCACGGTTACTCCAGTCAAATAAACTAGCATGGTTACTCCAGTCAAATAAACTACCATGGTTACTCCAGTCAAATGTTCTACCGTAATAATAGACTCTAATGTTT